GAATATTACTGAGAAATAAGAAAGTGCTGACTCACAGAGTGACATAGATAAATCTTAAATGCATTTTTCTAAGTGTCAAAATATTTCCCAATTTCTCTGTTCTCCAGCATATGCCTTCTGAGCACAGCAAAAAGCATGTCCAAATAAAAAGCACAGTACCCAGTACTGTTGCATCCACATATCTCTGAACACATAATTTTTTTTTATAGTTCAATCCAGTTTTTCTAGCTGTTGTTAGTGGGGACATTGGGCAGTCATGACCAGCTACATTCCACCCTTGCCCAGAAGCAGATGTTTCTTTCTTAATCATTTTCAATATGGGCTCATTTTTAGATCAAAACATGGACTCTGTGTTTAGAATTTCTTTTCTTGTTAAAATTGTGTTTGAACACTTAGTTTCACTGGTGTTTTCGTACATCTTTGCCCTACTCTAGCAGAGGATTACCCCTTAACAATGTAAATAGGCAAGCATTAAGCTTGGAAGAGACCCTTGAGAATACACACAAAAAAACAAACTATTTGTATTATTGGTGAAGTTTTTCCCATCTTGGTTTTTATATTTACTATTTAAAATATGCTTCTGGCTCTCTTCTCTTCCCGGTTCCAGACAGCCATGTCCTCCCACCATTGCCAGCCACCTCCCCGAGACACGATGGTGAAGGTTGGAGTAAACGGATTTGGCCATAATGGGCACCTGATCGCCAGGGCTGCTTTTAACTCTGGCAAAGTGGGTACTGTCGCCATCAATGACCCTTTCACTGACCTCAACTACAAGGTCTACATGTTCCAGTATGATTCCACCCATGGAAAGTTCCATGGCACTGTCAAGGCACAGAACAGGAAGCTTGTCATCAATGGGAAGGCCATCACCATCTTCCAGGAGAGGGATTCTGCCAACATCAAATGGGGTGATGCAGGTGCTGAGTATGTCGTGGAGCCCATTGGTGTCTTCAGGACTTTGGAGAAGGCAGGGACTCACTTGAAGGGTGGAGCCAAAAAGGTCATCATCTCTGCCCCTTTTGCTCACACCCCCATGTTCATGATGGGTGTGAACCATGAGACCTACAAAAACACCCACACGATCGTCAGCAATGCTCCTGCACCACCAACTGCTTAACCCTCGGGCAAGGTCATCCAGGACAATTTTGGCATCGTGGAGGGACGCATGACAACAGTCCATGCCTTCATTGCCACCCAGAAGACAGTGGATGGCCGCTCCAGGAAACCGTGGCACAATGGCCATGGGGCTCTCCAGAACATCATCCCTGCATCTCCTGGCGCTGCCAAGGCCCTGGGCAAGGTCATCCCTCAGCCGAATGGGAAACTCACTGGCATGGCCTTCTGTGTCCCCACTGCCAACGTGTCAGTCATTGATATGACCTGCCGGCTGGAGAAAGCTGCTAAATATGAAAACATGAAGAACAGCCGGGGCCACACTGAGGACCAGGTTGTCTCCACCGCCTTCAACAGTGATGCGCACTCTTCCACCTTCAACGTTGGGGCTGGCATTGCCCTCGATGACCACATTGTCAAGCTCATTTCCTGGTATGACAATGAATATGGTCCACATGGCCTCCAAGGAGTGAGAGCGCCCCGGACCACCAGCTCCAGTGAGAGCACAAGAGGAAGAAAGAAACCCTCAGCTGCTGGGGAGTCCCTGCCCCAACTCAGTCCCCCAACACACTGAGAATGCCCCTTCCTCGGCACAGTTTCCATCCCAGGCCCCCTGAAGAAGGGGAGGGTCCTAGGGA